AGAAAGCCGACATCCTGGAGATGACGGTGGTTTTTCTGAAACAGCAGCTGCAGCCCAAGACCTCGGCTCCACAGAAAGCCCACTTTGACGGCTATTCCCAGTGTTGGAGGAAGACCATGAGCTTCTTATCTGGAAACACCAAGGTGGACGCTGTACGTCAGCATCTGAACCACTGCCAAGAAGCCCAGAGATCATCTAAAGACCTCACTCACGTGTCCCCAGCTTCCCATCAGCCCACCAAGGTGAAGCAGGAACCATGTGCTCACAGACCTCTCTGGAGACCCTGGTAGACGATGAAAGACTTCCACAGAAAATCTAGATGGTGGTTTTACCATCTCTTATGTTGTAGGAGATACACATTTCCATTTCTATGTTCATTTCAGCTGCTTCATATTGAAGTTTCAATTGTTTTATTCTTGATAAGATGTATAAGACATTTGCCTTGTGTTGGTCTAGAGGCTTGTTTCCCCATCCTAATGTTGTTTGGCTTGCAAACAGTGATATTGCTCAGAATCTGAACTCTTTGTAGGGTCCTGATGGATGTTGATTTGATACAGCCTTTTGTAAAGGCTAAAGAAAAACAATATTTGTTCTTATGATGGCATTCTTGTGCGCTGAAACATTGTGGACACTGTGTGTCTGTCATTGCATTTAATAAAAGCAATTAATTATTTAAAAAATCATTTGAAATCATTCTTTCATTTATGTATACTATATATATTGTACTTAATAAATAGCAATGAAGTCACCACATAAACACTGATTGTACACTAAAAACATAGCATACAGTTCTGTTCAGTACAAAACAAATGGTAGGAATGCAAATATTTGGATGCATTAGATATTTTTTTTAGGATATAGTTGCAAATAAATTATGATAAAAATAAATTATGTACATAATCGAGCTTACATGATGAATAGTTAGTATCACTTATATGTTCAGGTAAGTTTGCAAATTCCTGAACATGTTTTAGTGGCATGTTTAAAATATATTTAATATGCAAATTATTGTGCATCATGGGTTATTATATAAAGTTAAAAAAATAAAAGTAAAAAAGTTGCTAGTTGAAATAAATATTAACTAAAAATATACAAATGTTTTTGAAATTTAATTTTAGCTAGTTGCCAAAGCAACACTGAAATGAACTTGATGTACTAAAATAACCTAAAACTAAAATATAATTAATAAAACAATATAGACATTAAAAGAAATAATAAAAACAAAACACAAAATTAATTTAACCAAAATCAAAATAAAAAAATACAATGCAAAATACAAAAATAATAATTAATTTAATTATATAATTCAAAATATTAAGCATCTCAATGATACTAAAATAACACTGTCATTAACTCGGAGGTATTCTGAGTTTAACTTTAACTTAGATTAAATAATAAATAACTGTTCAGTTTCATGTCGAAAGTCTAATTTGGTAATAATTTTTGGAGTTGCTGACCTCCAAACTTATAAACACAATTTATTTGAAGATTTAAGTATTTAAAGTGTTTTCAGTTTAAAAGAGTAAAACTTTTATTTATGCAATAATGCTGCATTTTTATTCAACATATTGTTTTAGATTATAATATTATATTTCTGTTATATTATAAGACATGAATCTATATAGACAACATTTTGTCATTAAAAAAAAAAAAGAAAGAAATTAGAGGTTAGCCCACCAGGGTTTTTTCTGCTAACATTATGGAATCACTCGTAATGAAACGTAATGCTGGAGTTGGGACTGATGACACACAAGCACGTTCCATTTACAATGCTTTGTCTGCATGGGTCTGAAGCATCTGATGCTTTCCCACACTCACGGGCAAATCACATTGCTTTCTGTAACACTTGATAACATCAGCAGCTTGGACCTGGAAAGGATGAGAGGAGGAGGAGGGGGATCCTTAAAGCCACTTTTTGTGTCTATACGTGTATGTGTGTGTGTTCAGTAGAGGTGTGCCATCTCCACTGCCTCACACCCAGAAACCAAAGGCTTCCCGCTCCTGTAAATTCATCAGAGGCACATGGCCATCCTGACGTCTACTGTATTTGCCCTAAAGTCCCATAAAATGCATGTCACCTTCAGTGCATGTGGCGTGAAAAGTGTGTCAGCACTTGAAATACTTTTGAAATACTTTTACCCAACCTCAAATCTCAGTAAATAATTATGAATTAGGTGAAATATTATTTTTTTTTTGGTCAGATTGAAGTATAACTGCATGTAAATGTAAAACTGATCAAATGACATAAAAGGAAATTACATCAGTTACAAAAGTTCATAACAATAGTAATTTAACTGTATAAACTGTATATATGTATAACATTTTATTTTATTATTTTTTATTGTTATTTCTTTATTCTTATACTTTATGTATGTTGTTTTATACACTGTAAAAAAAAATTTTAAAAATGTAAAGTTTTTACAAAAAAAAAATTTGTAAAAAAAACATTATCGGACTACTTTTTGTAAGGAAATACTATTTCAGTCTTTCTACTTCAAAAATTCATGCTTGATTATTTTTCTTTGTAAATTAATAGTGAAATCTACTAGCAGTTTCTGAGTGAAAATTGTGCACCAACCGCTTTTCATTTTACACTTAAAATAATTTTATTTAAATTAAGTATTTTAAATGGAATGTTAATTAATGCATATCTCATGGTTATTTTTCTTTATTTTTTTTTTATTCTTTTTCATGGTTTTAATTATACTGTATCTTCTTGTTTTTTAATGTTTGTCTTGTTTTTAGTATATGTCAATTGTTCTGAAGCCACATTTCCACATTTTTATATTTCCACAAAATATAAAGAACTTTAACAATTCACATGACCCGTAACAATACGCCACTTCAGGTTTGCAACAAGTAGACTCAAACAACAAGTGGATAGCTGTTTCCCAGGGGGCTCAGGTTTGAATTCGGGCAATAGAAGGGACGGGTCAGGATTCACACCACCATACGTAATGGATGATTTAGCACGGCACACTTCCTTCATGTCGGATCTGAAACAGGAGCCAGAGTCACGGGTGTGAGAAATCCTGGGAGAAGCCGGCCCCACACATGATGGGCGAAGCGTCCCCGCCCCGTCAGCCACACCAGCTGTCTGATGAAACCAGAGCTGACAGCACACAGCGCCTATTATCAAGGATTTCAAAGTACAAACACAAATATCAAGCCCCTGCGCTCTTTCTCACACACTCACTCTAGTCATGCTCAAACTCAGCTAAGTCTAGTTTAAAGGGGTCATATGATGCTGCTAAAAAGAACATTATTTGGTGTATTTGGTGTAATGAAATGTGTTTATGCGGTTTAAGGTTCAAAAAACACATTATTTTCCACATACTGTACATTATTGTTTCTCCTCTA